CCTTTAAGTATACTGAGCGGACTGGGCGAATGAATGCTCCGGTGAACTTGATTATGGAAAGCCTCTACCGTGGCACTATTTCAGAGCGGGTCTCTTTCACAACGTTCCTTCACCTGTTCTCTGGAGTTTTTCATGATCGCCTGTCTTGAGCTTCATTATTTCCATCGCTTTTCTTATCAGGGCGATTCCTGTAGCTAACTTAGCAAGTGCCCTCAATGCTCCTTAAAGGACGAATTCACGATAAGAACGAAGGTCGAAGAAGGGGAAATTGCATAGTTGGGAGACAGGCGGACCTCCTGAGGGTGCTGACCGACGCGCAATTGGCAGCGAAAGATTTGACCTCGGCGATCTAGCATGGCTCACTCTTGGCGCGGTTGGCGGGGTACGCCCACCGACTATCTAATCACTCGCCGCAGGTCTATACGTGGCGAGTGATTAGATAGCAGAGAGAGCGTAGTGTTGAAGAGGGCACAGCGATGAGAGTCGCATCAATGCGCAAATCAACGGGCAAGGAAGGGGTCCCATTTCTCGGGTTCTGGGCCGTTTCTCATGGTTTTTTCTTCTTTCGTGTACCACTCACCATCCCTAACTTAATTTGAAATGGGTTGCTTTTTCATCGTGAATTCGTCCTTTAAGTTGGCAAATGGTAGCCGACACCCCCTCTCACACCTGCTGACCCTGTCCAGTCGCAATTGTTCCTGATTATCCATTTGATATGTTAAAAAAGTCTTCGGCATACAGGAATTTCAGCTACATTGTGGAGTGAAAAAGTCGAAGAATGCAAAGAATATTATGTCATTTGAATAAAATAAGGGCAGGAAAATGACACAAAAAATCGGCATTCCAGATGGCCTGGGCTACTACCAAGCAATTCGGTTGTGGTGTCAAGCTTTGTGGTAGCAACTATGTTGTTGTGTGTCGATACTCCCCGCGGTAATTATCGTTTTTTTTATTTCGAGATTTTTTCAAGATGGCATCTAGAAGTCGGAAGAATTGAGTCACTTCCGGCTTCAACGGAAATCCTATTGCATAACCTTCGTTTTGATTGGAAGCCTTCACAGATGGATAAGGGCACACGGATTGGCATGAGCTAGCATGTACTTTTTATTGCACTGTCCTTGGTCTGAACCAAAAAAGCATTCAACACTTCTTCTGATGTGGGGGGGGGGAGGGGGTTGAGTACGTGGCGCACGCCACTAACCTAAAAGTAGCAAAACCGACATCAAGTGTTTATGTTTAATTTCAGTGTTTTTAGGGGCAATATCCCCCTCAGCAATATCTACAACGTGGGCACGAAATGCACAGCATGTCCAAACAGCTGTTCCACAGAATATCTGTACCAGGGACTTTGCATGGGGTCTACTATGAGAGGTCATTGAAAATCATACTTTGTCGTCATACAATAAACCATTGAAATGGCAATCTCTCTGACAGCATTATCTGTGAGCTAATGAATGCCTTTTTCTACCCATAGCAAGAAACCAGTCAAAATGATGCGCCACACTAGGGGCCGTGCTATCCTCCCCGAAGGGGTTGGGGACGAAAGTCCTTTAAATTTTCTCTGTCTTCCCAACTGGGATTGCCCTGATAAAGGGCCTACATTTAATGTATGTATGTAGGTAAAAGTAAACATGCACTGAAAATGAAGAAACTATATCGTTCAAAACAAATAAATTTAAAGGAAACTTTGGATCACCTAGCTTCGGGGAAGCATAGCATACGGCCCCTAGTGTGGCGCATCATTTTGACTGGTTTCTTGCTATGGGTAGAAAAAGGCATTCATTAGCTCACAGATAATGCTGTCAGAGAGATTGCCATTTCAATGGTTTATTGTATGACGACAAAGTATGATTTTCAATGACCTCTCATAGTAGACCCCATGCAAAGTCCCTGGTACATATATTCTGTGGTGCAGCTGTTTGGACATGCT